GAATTGGAAAATCTAAAAAAAAAAAATTAAACATTGGATTACAGCCATTAAAGGTATAGTTCCATCAAAGGTATAGCTTCTTAAGCAATCACCGAAAGAAAAATCAAAAAAGCTAGGTGTCAATACTTACATAATGAGGTCCTCAATACTTACACATTATTTGGCCAGTACTTTTTTCAAGTTGAAAGCATGGACTTGGCTCTCTAAATTAAAAAAAAAGATCATAAATAACATCAATCTTAACTTACTTTAAATTCTGTTCAAGTTCGTGATCGTTTTTCTTTTTTTTTTTTAATATTTTGTTTCAAATATCACTTTTGTTTCAAATATCACTTTTGTTTCAAATATCACTAAAAAAAAACCTCTAGCATTCTAGGCACGTGACTTAGGCGGCAAATAAATAGGGCGTCAAAAATTATTATGTAACTGATATGTAACTGATAATATGTAAATTTTAAATATTAAATTAGAAGACCATCAGTAGTGATGAAATATATTTTTCATTTTAAACAGCATTAGAAAAAAGTCACATATCCGAATCTGAAATATAAATATATAAAAATCGGAAACTAGTATAACTTTTTGAACAACTTCAGTAGGGGTGGGAAATAAAGTTAGTTTTAGTGTAACTAAAATTGTCCGACTTTTTAGTCTAACTAAATATTTAGTCTAGTCGACTAACTTTTTATTCTCCTAAATTTAGTCGACTAGCTTTTTAACGTAACTAAAATAAATTGGTTAACTTTTTTGTCTAATTAAATTTAGTTAACTATAGTTAAGTAAATTTAATTAGACAAAAAAAGTTAGTAGAGCAGCCGTGGCGCAGTGGTTAGAGTTCTGGCTCAGAACCCAGAGGTCCGAGGTTCGACGCCAACTCTAGCCCAACAAGTGACATTGGTACGGAAGGAGGCGTGAACTTCCTATTAAATGCTCTCCCGCGGTGCTCTATGATATGACCGTAAGGACTTCTGGGAGCATCTAAATACATTAAAAAAAAAAAAAAAAAGTAGATAAGTATAGAAATGGTAGGTTTGGTAAAGATTCTTACTTAATGGGTTATATATTTACAAATATATAACGTTTAAATCGTATGAAAAAGATGATCAAAAAGACAATCCAAGTTCTCACAGAAGTTTTGTTCTCTACAATGTTTAAAACTTCAACAAGAAAAGCTATTATTTTTTTCTTATTTAAATAAGAATTATTTAAAAAATCTATATCTTTTAGTAAAAATCTTGTTTTCTCTATCTTTAGTAATTAAAGTTATTTTTTGGTTGCCCATATATAAGTCCATGCAATGACTCTAGTTAAATATTTCTTTAAAAATTATATGTCATACAAATTGACTGTCAAAAAAAGATACTTTTGTTAAAACATCAATAGTCACAACGGGTTTGTTTAAAAACATTCAATGTCCGCCTTTTTACCACTGCTCGGCGGTATAATAACTTATTGTTTTACATTTATCAATGGTGTTTCTTGTGTCGTTCTCTGTTTATTTATAAGTTTTTGGAAAGTTCAAGAATACAAGTGTCTAAAAAACCTAGGATAAGGAAAATTAATCACAGTAAGCAGAACTTAATGAAAATTGCAAAAGTAAATGAAGCTGGTCATGTTAACCTTGTAGAAAAGTATTTCACTGCTAAAACTGCTTGCTAAGATTGAAGATAAAAAATAAAATATTAAATTATAATATTATTAACTAATAACAAAGATATATCTATCATCAATAAATTATTACTAAATATGCATAATTCCTATGACAGGCTTTGTGCTTGGCTCAGGCTTATGTGCTCAATTAGGTCACATAGGAATAATATATGTTTAATATACATTCGCATCGGAATGATAAATGATTAACGATGATGATAATGATGATGATAATGATGATATGTATATCATCATTATCATCATCATCATTATCAAAAACAAATTATTAATAAGCATGCGCCAAATATAATTATTCTTATTTGATTCAGAATATATATATATATATATATATATATATATATATATATATATATATATATATATATATATATATATATAATATATATATATATATATATATATATATATATATATATCAGATGTTTAGTTATCTGGTTCCATTGAAGTGATAAATACAAAAAAAAGACGTTCAGGGAAAAAAAGTAACTCGAAAGATGTTATTCCTATTAATGATGACATTTAAATGTATTCAGCATGCTACAATAATAAGATCAGTATTATTATTTCTGATGCGTCTTATAAAATGCATACAAATCTTTATCATTCTTACAAAAATTATTCTTATTTGATTCAGAAAAAGTCTTCAGATGATGGTCTTAGTTATGAGATTTGTATGAAAACAATATTTATTAATTCATGGTATTTATCATCCTCGACTGAGACGTATTCAAAATCATATCACAAGTACAGGATTAGCCCTAAAAGATAAAAGAGGAAAACAAAAAAATTGTCAACATGATGTACCTGATCAAATAATACAACTTATTCATTTTCAAGAATGAGTTGTATTATTTGAAAACAAAGCAACTTCTGCTAAATAGAGGGAAAGAAATTTAATTGTTTACATTAAATAACAGTATTTAGACACCACTCCTAATTAGAACTTTCAAGTTGTCCCACTTCTCCCGCGTCCCATTCCTTCTCTTTTTATCCCGTACAGTATTTTAGTTATAATATTTCAGTTTCTTTATAATGTTTTGTATTTTATGCTTTCTATCTTTTGATTATTTTGATTATTTTTATTTTTTATTTTTTGTTACTTATAAGCATACATTGGAACGCAAAAAAAGATATAATATATTTTTTTATTTAAGACATTGTGTTATATATAAAGTTATTGTTATTATTGAAAGTATTGCATTATATATTCGTTTTATTTTTATGCTTTTCAAGTTTATAAAGATCAGCATTCATGCCTCGTCTTTTCTTATATACAACGCCAGAAGTACTAAAATATCTCTCTATAAAAGCTGCTGCAGATGGAATATTTAGAAAGATGACAAATAGCTTTTCCTAACATTGAGATTTTAGAATTTTTGAACCAAAAATCATAAAAAGGATACAAAGATATAGCAAGTCTTTTCTCTTCGATTTGCTTAAAAAGTAATCTTTCCTTTTCCAATTTCAAGTAAAGTTGTAAATTAGGGTTCCGATCTTCTGAGCAATATCATCTAGCATAAATCCGTTGAGCGAATTAGTTTACTGATCATTTAAACTCAATTGTTCTTTTGTTTGTGTAGACATTTAAACTCAATTGTTCTTTTGTTTGTGTAGATCTTGGTTGCGATTCTGAATTTAACTTTATTGTTTATGTGGTATTGAACGCTATTTATAGATTGGTTTGTGCTTTTTTGTACTTTGAAAGCGTTGCAAGTAAACAGCACAAATATTTTTGTTTCTTAATAGCGAAACGTACAACGTTGTTTGTTTTATGAGCTGCCCAAGAAAACTGCGGTAATTTTGATGATCCCAATTCAATTTCGAGAACTTTAATAACCTCAGCACTATGAAGATTGTATTCATTATCCTCGTTACAGACATAAGTGATGTTTGCATCCTCTGCTGTTTTGGCTAAATGAATAAGATTTGTAAAAGTAAGCTTTCTTGATTCAGTTAAAAACATTTCAAGAAGTTTATCAGTGGTTGAATTTCAATATTTAAGACTTCATCTTAACCAATTTTAACTGCTCATTATCTGCTTCTTCAATATAAAGGGAAACTTCTTGGTTCAGCAATTTTAGTAATTACTATTAGTTTGTACAAGAGTAATTACATTTTGTATTGTTTATTTTTTAAACACCTTTATAGGTAAATTAAGAAATTTTAAATAGCCGAAACATTTATTGTTTTTTATTATTAAAATGGTTTTATGAATTAAAAAAATTTATCTTTTTTATGAAAATATTTACATTTTTGGTGCTTAAAAGAATTTATTTATTATATATTTTGACGGCGGTTTTCCCAGAGGAAAACCGCCGCCAAGATTCAGCGGGTTCCCGATGGTCTTCCCTTATTTGTTCCAGTTGCAAACCCAATCGGGCGCCTTACGATTTTAAGGTACGGCGTTTGGCTGGGGCCTATACAGTATACCCAGCGGGAATATTATATGGGGCCCATATGGGAACCACGGCCAAGATCCGGCAGGACACCGTTGGTCTTCCCATATGGGACCCAGTTAATAAACTTTTTTTTTTCTTTTTTTCATTTGTTTTTTCTCTCGTCTATGGTATTACAGGTTATAAATAAGATATTATAAAAATTAATGGATTAAAAAAAGCCACTAATTCTTTCAATAAGTAGTTTAAATTATATCTATTAAAATTAACTTTATTTTTTAAATAAAGCTAATAAATGACTTCTATGCATCTAAATTCATGTTACGGTACTGTACTTTCTTTAAAAGCTATGTTTATTTAAATCCAATAAATTTTTTTGGAAAATGTGTTTTGCAGAATTGATTTTTACCTATGCTGACAACATTCTAAAGAAAAAATTAGTGAAAATATTTAAAAGTTACCTTTTTTCAACTGACATGCACTCATACAGATGTGTCTTATTTTCAAACGTAGTTTCACTTGTCATGTCTAACTTTGGAAATGTTTGAATAAATGCTGTAGTAAGAAAATAATGAAATCAAATTGAAACTTTTTATTATAAGATAGTCAAAACAAAGATTTTAATACGAAAATAATTTTAAAAAACCTTTCCTTGTTAATTCCACGATACTATTAAAAACCATTCGCTTTAAAAATGTTACGGATTTATCATCGGTGCATTCATTCCAATTAATAGTTGTTATTGTCGAGATGACCTCTTTTCCAAAAACAAATAGCGTATCAATTTCGTAATCCACAGAAAATTTTAAAAAAGAATCAATGTAGATTTTTTCTATCTTGAGAAAGTAATAATATATGGCTACAATAATTACAATTTTAATCCTAGAATTCTTTAAACATAAAACACTTTAACTTTTATGTATATCTTTTTATCTATATCTGTTTCGATATCTACATTACTAAATATTTCTTCAAACCGCACTTAGTTATGTGTGGAATGTGAAGTTCATTTAATTTAATGCAAAATCTCCTCTTTCAAGCAATCTTAGTTGAGGATATTTTTTACTTGAGTCAACTTTTGGTGAACTGTTTTGAGATCAAAAATCTAAAAAATGGAAAATCTGAAATATTCTTGTACAACAAAGGAGTAGCCCACAAAGGAGCCAATGATAAACTTAGCATGCTTTTGAAATACATTGACACTAATACCGTATACAACCGCAAATCTTAAAATAAGTTTGGTATTTTCAAAATAAATGCTCCGTTTGTATTTTTACGCACATAGTCTGTTTTTATTGACGCATAAAACTTTGAAAATAAAAATAAACCAAAAAAACAGACAAAAAGTGAAAGTGAGTAATTAAAATAAACCAATTATTGACCTAATCATGAATGGCACAACACCTAAAGATATTTCCAAGATGCTAACAAGCCTCAAAGTACTGTCTACACTGTGATTAAAAGTTTTCAAATGATGGAAGCTATTAACGATAGTGGTTTAATGAGGTCAGTTCTAACTCCTCAATCGATCAAGGCGGTCAAGGGCCAAATATCTTGGAATCCAGTAAGGTTAATGAGGAAAAATGGCTAAAAAGCTCTCAGTGAGTGAGCACGCCATCAGAAATGTGATAAGAGAGGATCTTAAGGCAAAGTCAAGAGATCAGAAACGTCTGGTTTCCCCAAGTGTCAAAGGAAAAAGATTTGAAAGATACCTTTCACTTTTAGATACAGAACGTTTTGAACAAATTTTTCATAACTTTCTTTTTCGAGGGCATTCATATCTTCCAAACGATCGAGATTTTGTTACTATGAGGTGGAAGATATGTAAAAACGGTTCGATAAATAAATTTAATTAATATGAAGATTTGTGCTCAGTCCAGTAACAACTTTTGCATCGCTAAGCTACTGACAAGGGAGTAGTGTGCAAAAAGAAGCAAATTTCAAGTTTACTTCCACTCGATATAAATAGTTGCACAATAACTCTAAAGAAAAAGGAATTATCACACTTTCACTGAAAGATTACTAAAGCACTACTACTAGCTGCTGAAACTTGTTGTATATATTATATATATAACAAGTTTCAGCAGCTAGTAGTAGTGCTTTAGTAATCTTTCAGTGAAAGTGTGATAATTCCTTTTTCTTTAGAGTTATTGTGCAACTATATATATATATATATATATATATATATATATATATATATATATATATATATATATATATATATATATATATATATATATATATATATATATATATATATATATATATATATATATATATATATATATATATATATATATATATATATATATATATATATATATATATATATATATATATATATATATATATATATATATATAATATATATATATATATATAATATATATATATATATATATATATATATATATATATATATATATATATATATATATATATATATATATATATATATATATATATATATATATATATAAACTTTACCTTAAGTATTGCAGCCATCATTGGGAAAGCATAAAGACATGAAAAAGATGATTACTTATATTCCTGAAAACTTCAAGTTTTATCAGATGAAATATTTACCTAGTCAACCACTGCACATTATAATAATGCAGTGGTTGGGAATGGTCAATTTTGAGAGCGTTCTACATTTTTATATTCCTGTTTTATGATCACTTTGTAATGTTGAAACTCCATTTTTAACTTAATATGAATAAAAGCTATTATTAGACAGGAAATGTTTTTAGTAGCATTTGTATTAATTTACATTAAACAAAAAGTTTAAACATCTAAAAAAAGCTAACATTTTGACCAAACTTTGGTAGAATTATTTTTCCCCTTAGACAAATACATTTACACGGTAAAAAATAAAAAAAGGTATTACTAACAAATTTAAAGCACCAAAAGAGTACAAAGTACTTCATAAGCAATAAGAAAAAACCTTTTATAAACAATTTATACTTACATAAATAAGATCATAGTATTTATGATTAATCATTGATGTTGGATTGATACTTAAATTATCCAAAATTAGTCTTTTGAACTTGAATCTTCGGTGATGTTCAATAAATATTGAAATGCTCTCAAGATCTGCAACGCAGTCAGCACTAGTTGTCAAGTTGAGGTTAATAAACATGTTTTGACTGAAAATAAAAATCATTATATCCAATGTTTACTTAAAGTCACAAGCAACATTGTGCGTCAGGTCAACATTGTGCGTCCTTCAGATTGTTTTTAAAACGAAGTAAACTACACAAATGCCTTGTCGTATTTTTGGGGGTTTAAAATTGTTTTACTAAAAGCATGCATTGATATTAAACTATGCGTTTGGAAATACTAAAAATATTGCAATTCTTAACACACACGCGCAGACTGAAAAAGTTTTGTTAAAACGTTTTTACTTTTTTAAAGGTTTGCAACCATTACATACAAAAATGACTACAGTTTTAAACTTACTTTAAAGTATAGTTTGAAGCTGTCATGATAAGACTACATTTTCTTATTGGACGTTGAATAGTAAACGGAGTCAATGTAACCCGCAAAGAATCAATAGTGGAATAAGTCAGCACTGCCCATTCCGTGTGAATATATTCAACAGACATATCGCCAATCTGTTTTAAATGAAATAGACTTTTCAACAACAAAACCTTTTATATTTTACCATTATCTCTTGTAAAATTTATATGAAAAAAATAAAAGCATACCTTTGTTTCTAAATCATAAAAGTTCTCAAACTTAGAATTTACATTTCCTGAATAAGTTTCTTTTACTGACGAGTAAAGCTTGCTCTTTTTATTTCTCTCCGTCTTTATAGATGAGTGAAAACCTCTACCTCGATTTATAAACTGTGTGATAATTATCCTTCCTGAAGAGTCGATTGAATTATCGAGGTCATCAATAAAGTATAACGTGCTTTCGTCTTTTCCTTCGAGATAAAAACTGATTCTCACTCGAAAATTTATATAGGAACCAATAGAACAAATTTCAGATTCTGGTTGAAAAATCGAAACTAAATATTATTTAGTGAGTTTATTGTAAAAATTTAGTTTTAACAATGGAAATAAAAAAACGATAAATCAGCATAGACGATACAGCATGAAGCAACATTTTACACTCTATCCCTAGTCAAAAAAATATATAGCTTTTGGAATAAAGTATTATATTGTATTTATATTGTTCATTTCAAACTTATTTTTTTTTTAATATAATGGTTATCAAACCTGACATAATTTGTCAGATTTGACACCCATTATGTTAAAAAACCTATAGAATTCTATACAAATTAGATACTATGAATACCGTCAAGAACTTACATACTAATCACACAAATCTTACATAAAAAACTTATGCTTTCGCGGTTACTCATGTAATTTAACGGTAGCCCAATCTGCGTAATAGAACAGAAGCACTGTTTATCATTGTAATTTATAACTGCTCCTTCATACAATGCACCACTTTCAATTTTTTTCCAGCAAGTTTGCACACAGCTGCTATAATCCGCATTAAATGCCGATAATTCAGGTGAACCATAAAAACCAAAACTGTATTTTGGTATTGTATTTTCCAAAAATGAATCTATATTAAAAGAAATATTCAATAAATAAATGTAAAATATTTAAAATAATTATTCAACTCAACTTTATTTTAAGCAAATTTTTCAAAAAACATTTCAAATGGTTCTATTTTAAAAGAACACAATGTAACAAAAGTCTTGCCAGCTTAGACTTTTCAATATTAATTTATGCATTTTTTGTCACTGAATTCAAAAATCTTATTTGTTTTGTCGTAATATAGATAACATTTGTTTTGTCGTAACATCGATACATTCGTTTTATCATAACATCGATAGTTATTTATTTATGCTTAGTTTCATATTTTCTTGATGTAAGTGCAAAATCCGTTTGTTGTCAATCTATTCTAATATTGCATTAGTAATTTTGCATAGCATATAGAGCTTTTTTCAATATTGAAAGGTATTTAGGAAGTACGATGTTAGTAAAAACAAAAAGAAAAAAGAAAATTCTTAACTATAAATGTTTTTAAACTTACAGTTACAATATAATCCTTTACTATAAAATTTTTCCTCAAGATTAGTAGCGCTTTCAAGATAGCGATTTTCTTGATTTCAAGATGGCGATTTTCTTAATTTCAAGATGGCGATTTTCTTGATTTCGAGATAGCAATTTTCTTGAGTTAATACTTTTACCTTTTCTGACTAGAGACCATGTCCAATCTCTATCATAGAAGTAACCCATCGTGCTTGATATCTACTTTCTGTTTTTGCAATATCCTTTTAAAATCTCTCACTATGTATTTCAGTGACATCAACCATGTTTTTGGGAAAGAAATCTAGATTTATCAGAATCTAGGTAGATTTCTACCTAGAATGCAACATATAAATCTTTATAGACATACAAAAACACAGCTTGTATTTTTTAATAAGTTTTGCAACCAATTGTTTGTAATTTTAAAGGTTCTTGCAAACTGTCTAGGAATTCACGAACTATACAACTAAATGTACAATAACCTTCTTTTTCAACTTTTGTAATTGCTCGTTTAAGTTTCTCTGACTCGAATTTTTTTTTGGTCCAAAGACTATAATTTTGATTTTTACCTCAAAATTTACATTTGCATTTGAATTTGTTGCTATTGCAGCTTTAGCACCATTACAAACTTCATATCTTTTTATAGCCTTGACCAAGTTAGTCTGTATAACTTCTTTCATTAATTATTTGCTCCTAAAACCATTTTTTTTCAAAAGTATCTAAAGTTGAGGGAGCACTAAAATTGCCATTTGAATTAACTGCTAAATAAAGTGACTCATTTTATATCAGAGGAAGATTTGGATTAACTCTTTATTAAAGCTTTTGCAAGTCACAGTTGACTGTTATTACGTTTGATACAGAGTCAACTTTTGTCCAATTAATACATCTTTGTCAATCTTGTAACTGTGTTTAGTAGATTGTTTGTAAGTTTATAATATTGCTCACCGGTAAATCAGAAGGTTTTTCACCAAAACTTCCACTATTACTACGAGTTTAGGTTAAAGCTATTGTTTGTTTTTAAGCTTTTCTGAGCTTATGTTAATATCACAATAAAAATTGGCTTGCAAATCAAAAAATTTTAAAGTATTAACTTAAGACAAAAGACCAGATCTATCACCATTACTCTATATACCAAGATTCTCTGATTCAAGACTGATAATAGCTTGCCAATAATTGGAAGAAATGTGTGTATTTTAAACTTTTCCGAAGGCGTCTATTCAGCGTAAGCATCATCTGCTTCTGCATCACGGTAGTCTCATCTTTCGATTCGCTTAATTTTTCTTAATTTTTAAGAATTGCAACACTTTTGTAGCCGTATTTAAATGTGATTTTGAATCTTGAAAACATTTGCTTGTTTTGTTAAATCAAACTGGTTTGTCTTGAAGTTCTTGTTCACGATTTATATTTGTTGTTGATTCATTTAATATCTCCTTACCTATTCTTGGTCATGATCATCAGCTAAACAAGTTTCAGTTGTAATTGCTTACAACTACTAGTAGTGAAAAAATCTTTAAGCGGATGGGAAAAAGCAAAATTTAAGAAAGAAAAAGTTGGAAAAAAGTTCTGGCAGTAACTAAAAAGGTTTTTGAAATCTATCAACCCCACAACATTGCCAAACCTGAATCAAATATTGAACTTGATACAAGCTTGTATCAAGTTCAATATTTGATTCAGGTTTGGCAATGTTGTGGGGTTGATAGATTTCAAAAACCTTTTTAGTTACTGCCAGAACTTTTTTCCAACTTTTTCTTTCTTAAATTTTGCTTTTTCCCATCCGCTTAAAGATTTTTTCATGATTATTAGGTTTTATTATAATAAAAAGAAAACGTTATTTATATAATATAACGAGCAAACAGTTTGCATTAATTTTTTTTTTTTTATTTATTCGTGATATTCATATGAACTCCAAACGTCCACAAAACTTTGTATCCGCCGAGATGGGCGGTAAAAAAGTGTAAACAAATATTAGATACTAAAACCCGATCTGTTTAAATTGGTTTAAATTCTTCTTTGCTTACAATTATGCGATCACAGTACTACGAGAGTCTTAATTAGGAAGCAAAAAAAGAGATGAAGAAGAAGAGAGAAGAAGAAGAAAAATTATCAGTTCTAGAGATTATTTTTGATCCGTATTCTTTATCAGAAAAAGACTGTGAACTAACTAATAACGTAGACAATGGCCTAATCTATATTTTGCTGATATATACAGCTAATCATTTTTCCAAGTCAGTTTGCAAGTTCTAGTTTAAAATCTTACGAAGGTCTTAAATCTTACAACTGTGTAACCAGTGGTCTTGTTCACAACGTTCTTGTAAAGTTCATTTATGGTGTAAAGTCTATTTATATTTTTACCAGTCGTATAAAACATGGTCAGAGTATTTTTTCAAAAATTTTTACAAGGGTATAGGTTAGCGTTCATGAAGTTGGTCAAGTTATAAATTCACATTGCTTATTTATGGCAGGTTTAGGCAAAGTCTGTTCTCATATTGGAGCAACATTATTTAATGTTAACATCTGATTATCCAAAAAGGAATGATGATGCTTGTATATGTCAATTGTGTGCTTGGTTGCCGCCAAACCTTAAGGCTTGGTTACCGCCAAACCTTAAGGTTTGGTTGCCGCCAAACCTTAAGGATATTACTTATTTGCCACTTTCACAAATTAAGCTTACCGAACCAAAAAAAAAATTAAAACAAAAGTAAAGAACAAAACATAAGTAAAACCATATATTAAAAAAGCCTTATCCGTTCCAATTCCAAGTAAGACAGAAGTTGTTAACTTTTACAGTAAAATATAAGATAATGCAAGAGATAGTGTAATTCTTAGTATAGTTCGTGAATATAGTAATAAATATATACCTTTAGATGCAAAACTAAATACAATTATTTTTAACTTTTACAAAAGAGAACATGAATAATTAAAATATCATGAATTCGTGCAACTTTCAAATTAAACTTTTTCAGATATAAAAATAACTAAAGATGAAATTAAATTGATTTCAAATCATACAAAAACTCTATCTCAATCAAGTTTATGGTTTAGAGCATGCGCAGGAGTTATCACAGCTAGTAAATTCAAAGCTTGTTGTCATTCAAATATAGACATACCTTCTAAAAATTTAATAATGCAAATTTGTTATCCATCAGAAAATAAATTTATTACCAAAGCAACAAAGTATGGTTGTGAAATTGTAGCTAGAAATTATTTAAAATTGCATCTATTCACATAAATGTTGAAATTTTTGATTGTGGATTGCTTAGAACAGCCATATGGCCATACCTCGGAGCAACTCCTGATGGTATTTTGAAATGCTCATGCTGTTCTCATGAATACATAGTTGAGATAAAATATTCATTTAAATGCACAAAAAGAAAGGTCTTTGAACTGGCAAATAATAATAAAAAGTTATGCATGGAAATAAAGGACGGAAAACATTATTTAAATAGAACTCATCAATATTATTATCAAGTTCAGCTACAAATGTTAATTTCAAATATTCCGATTTGTTGTTTTATCGTGTACGATGAACCAGTCTAATTGAAAGAATTTATGTTGATAAAGAACTCCTCACTGAAAACTTAAACAAAGCAGGAGATTTTTTTATTTTAGCGATATTCCGATTTGTTGTTTTATCGTGTATGATGAACCAGTCTAATTGAAAGAATTTATGTTGATAAAGAACTCCTCACTGAAAAATTAAACAAAGCAGGAGATTTTTTTATTTTAGCGATATTGCCTTAACTCCTTGCCAAATGGTATTCTAGAAATCATAATATTTTTGTAAATATTGGGGCATTAAAACAAAGTAACAATTTTGAAACAATATGTACTTGCGGTGAAATAAAAGAGAGTATTATAATTTAAATTGTGTTATAAAAACCTATCATCTTAATTGTCTTGGACTTACAAGTAAACCAATTGGAAAATGGTTTTGGCCCATATTGTTGCCACAAGAAAACCAGAATTAAAAAAAAAAGTTTTAAATGTATAAATAAACATGATACTACATTTATGTATTTTTATATATTAAAATAAAAGTCAATCAATAGGGATTACTCCACGACAAAGGTTACATAAAGGTTTACATAAAACAGAGCAAACATTTAAAATATCATTTAGTTTACATATTTTATCATCTGCTCGACTAATTAGTTTATTAGGAAGTATTCCTTGTAAAATTGTGTATTTATTTTTAAGGAGCCCAATTAAATGTTCAACTTGTATTTGTACACGGGCAATCTCTTGCGTCCAATCAACTTCTATTTGAGATAGCTGAGACTTTACTCGTGTAAAGGCAAGAAGTTTTCATTTGGCACAATATAAACCAACGGAATCTGCAATGGTAAAACCTATGCCTGCTAACACCTGATCACCAATAAATAGATTATTTAATATTCCAGAATTTTCTGTAACATAAACGTCAAATACTTTTCCATTTAACATTTAGGAAAAAATTCTCGAACATTTAACATGTTTTAACATTTAGGAAAAAATTCTCGAAAACAAGTTGGCATTGTTCTCCTTTATATATCTCACTCTGGCCACTTTATCAAAAAGGATAGTATGCGTGCCATTACAAGAAGCCTTTCTCAAAAATTTGTGATATAGTTGGTTGACTTATACCAAAACTGTACGCTTTATCTTGTTCCAGCAAACTTAGACGCAGTTTCATTAAAACAATACAAACTTTATCATAGTTGAAGAATTATTAGCTGGCACATGGTTTTCAATTAAGTTAAAAACATGTTAAAAACATTTATATCAGGAAGACCTGTATAAAATTGAATTTTCTTTTTGTCTTTTATTAATTTAAAAGTAGCCTCATCAAAATAGAAAATCAATCTCTACTTTACTGTCTTCTTTTAGTTTTTTAATTGAGTTTTTTAACTTCTCAATTTCTTTTCCTATCTCCCTTATAATTTTGACAGTTTTGGATTCTTCAACAATTTTTTCTAGCAAACAACATTTAATACTATTCTCTTCAATAAGCACTTTTTCATTATTCCTCTTCTTTAAACAATTTAATCTTTCTGAATATATTTGCCTTGATGAATAACATGACATGTCATTAAATTCAAGAGGTATATCGTTATTGTTTTTGTTAACTTTTTTAATGGAAGGAACAAAGTCAGCATGATTTTTATAAACATATTTTCTTCCTAAAAAAAAAAAGTTAACTATACATAATATACAAAAATATATATATATATATTATATATATATTATATTATATATATATATATATATATATATATATATATATATATATATATATATATATATATATATATATATATATATATATATATATATATATATATATATATGTATGTATGTATATATATATATATATATATATATATATATATATATATATATATATATATATATATATATATATATATATGTATGTATGTATATATATATATATATATATATATATATATATATATATATATATATATATATATATATATATATAATATATAATATATGTATGTATATATATATATATATATATATATATATATATATATATATATATATATATATGTATGTATGTATATATATATATATATATATATATATATATATATATATAAATATATATATATATATATATATATATATATATATATATATATATATATATATATATATATATATATATATATATATATATATATATATATATATATATATATATATATATGTATATATATATATATATTTATATTGTTGTATATAAATATATATACATATATATGCATATATGTATTTGTAAATTTAAAAGTGCTTAAATGTTTATATATTATTTTAACATAAAAAATCCACTTGACTTACCAGTAATAAAATGTTCACCGCAAATGTAAGCAAACTCCAAATTCGGCAAAATTTTTCTGTTTAAAAAAACAATTCATAACCTTCTTCGTTCTTCTTCTTTCGAAAACCTATGAGAAGGAATTGTGCTACCTTCAATTTTTCTGTTTTCACAGTATGGTGCCCAACAGCTTTTTACAATTTTTACATTTGTTTACATCTTTTTGCCACCCATCGTGGCGGATATAAAATTTTGCGGATGTTCGGCGCTCAAATGAATATCATGAATTGAATGGTATATACCAATTCATATCATGAATTTAATGGTATATACACTACAACAATATATTTTACTTAGTTGCACAAATTGTCTTTTTTCTCATTTTCATTTTGTTCAAATACGTATTTGAAAAAAATGAGAAAAAAGACAATTTGTGCAACAAAGTAAAATATATTGTTGTAGTGTCTAAGTTTCCGATAGTTAAACATCCGATAGATAAACATTTTTTATTTTAATCGGATAAACATTGTACTTAGGCCGTGACAATAAATATCCGATTGTTAATAATTTTGTGTTTTTGCCTTTTTGTTCTATTATAAGAAGGGCCTTTTTACTTGTTAAATTTTTTTCAAGAAATGAGCCTATATTTCATAATTGCTTTATCTTTTTTTTATAATTGCTTTATCTTTTTTTTTTAGGTCTTTTTTATTGATGCGGCATCACGTATGTGTGATGATGCATATATGTGTGATTTTTATTCTAGTATTGTTTATATAAAATACATTTTGAGTGGTTGAGCAGACATTTTAAAAAAAAGTTATTTTTAGGACCACTCTAATATATACATATTAGAGTATATATATATATATATATATATAGGGAGGGGTAGTAGAAAAAGATTGGCGCAGGCATCAGTAAAGCCTAAGCCAAATTTTTTTTAGGACCACTTTAATATGTATATATTAAAGTGGTCCTAAAAATAACTTTTTTTTTAAATGCTTGCTCAACCACTCAAAATGGGTTCTATATAAGAAAATAATACTAGAAAATTTTTAAAATATATATATATATTTAGGGGTAGCTTAAGACCTTTAAACATCAGACGGGTCCCTGTAATTATCAAAAAAAATAGATCTTTAAAAGTATTTGGGTCTCAAAAGAAGGAAAGTTATGTAAAAACTTCGAAAATAATCATCATTTAATAAATACATTAGGAAAAATAATTATAATAATTTTTTTTTATAAATAATTTTTTTTTGTAAAAAATATAATTTTCTAATCAATCTAAATCTAAAATAACAATTTTTTTATAAAATGATGATTAAGTTTTTGTATAATTTCTAGGGTTCGGAAAAATTTGTATTATTGGCATAATTAAGCGCATAACTTTTATTCAATTTCAAATCATTAAAAACCGTTCAATTGTTTTAACTAGGCAGACAGACCAAAAAACTAATTTTAATTCTAGTTTTTATGAAATTTTTAATTAATGTACTTTTGAAACAAAAAATTCATCAACTTTAGTAGTGGAATAAAAAGTTAACAACATTCAATTCCACTATTAATTCTCTTTAGTTACCGCACTTTTATAGTTCATTATAAAATTTTTATAATTAATTATAAAAGTGCTTTAATTTAAAAAACTGAAAAATTTATAGTTTAGGAACTGCTACTTCCTCTAAAATGTAGTCATTTTTGTCGTTTTTATCCATTAAAACACTATTGTAGGGAAGAGTGGAGAAAAGTGGGACACGCAAATTTAGGGTTTTTTCGGGTAATTGAAATATCTTTTGTATTTGATGTATAAACTGAACCAAACAAGTTTTTACAAATAAACCTTCTTTTTAGGCATTGATTCAATCCCCTTAGGTTTCCAGCCTATTATAACTAGGTAAGTGTATAAATTTTTGCTTTTAGAGAAACCGTGCCATTGGGGTAAAGTGGGACAAATATGAGTAGAAGTGGAACAAATAATTTTAAAACAACATTTTAACACAAACTATTAAATAGAAACTGATAATATCATAAAATCACCTAATCAACATAAAATTGTTCAAGAGATTTCACCAATCAAAATAATCAAATGGCGACGGGAAGAAGCAGGCATAAATATTTATTTTTTCTGTCCCACTTCACCCCAATGTAAACACTTTTTAAGGTACATTTCAAAATTCGGGGTTCTAGCGCACGCGAGGAAACAAAGCAATTTCTGATAAATGGAGGCGATTAAATTTACTTTTTTACATTAAATAAGATTACTTAGGCACCACTCCTAATTAGAAAATTCAGGCTGTCCCACTTCTTCCCACCCTACTCTATTATATGAAAACTGTCCAGTCTTTAAAGTTTCAAAATCTATTATTGAAATGATTTTTTCGTCAGCTTAAGCAGAGTCGATTTTTCGATTTATTCATTGACGATTGAGAAATCTCTATACATACGAACGCATAAAATAGTTAGTTTTTATATATACCAATAGTGTTTTGACGGATACTAACGACAAAAATGGCTACATTTTAGAGAAAGTTGCAGTTTTTAGCGAGTTTGAGTGTGAAGAAATTTTTAATGAGCAAATGTAATACAAAAATAAATTAAATTGTTTAAATTAATTAAAAGTTTTGTGATATAGAAATTCCTTTAAAAATCCTGAAAATAGTTTGAAATATTTATAAATAAAAATAATTACTGAAAATCGAATAAAAAATTAATTCTTTTTATTTAAAGTTGCCTGCGTTTGATTTAAAAAACATTTTATATATTTGACAGTATTTAATCAATTTTATAAAGCATCTGTTAAATTTGTAAGCGCATCATAAGCATGTTATGCGTATAATTACGCGCATAACTTTTGAATGGATTCGCATATATTCGCCGATATGCGCATAAGTTCCGAACCAAAATAATTTTGCTTATTTTAAAGGAAGAATTTTTTTTTTTTTTTTTTGAAAAAAGATGCTTAATCTTGGATTTCCTCGTATTACTGATTCGATTCGTGATTCGATTCGATTCGCTAATAAAAACCCGCTTCAATTCGAGGTTTGTTTCAAAACTAAAAAGGCCGATTTGTAGGACCCTAATATATATATATATATATATATATATATATATATATATATATATATATATATATATATATATATATATATATATATATATATATATATATATATATATATATATATATATATATATGTATATATATATATATATGTATATATATATATATATATATATATATATATATATATATATATATATATATATATATATATATATATATATATATATATATATATATATATAATATATATATATATTGTTATAAGAAAAGGTTGTTACTTTATTGAATTTTTTATTTTAGTTTTAATAACATGGAAAACTGTGTGAACATCGGTTTTAATTAAGTTAACGTAAGAGAATGTAATATTTTTGTTTGGTCGTGTTTAATAGAAAGAAACTTGTTTTGATATTTGTTTAACTTCTATTTGCGTATATATATTAAATATATTACAATTAATTACACACTTTTAAACTGTTTGTAGTTTCCCGTATCTCAACTATCATAAGTTAAATAAACTGTTTGAACCGTATATAAAGTATCATAAGTTGAGCGCGACGGCTTTTTATTTAATTCTTGTGTACCTACTTCTTCTTCAAAATTCGTCGCCAAAGAAATAGTTTTGTTACCATTAATGATTAAAACAGTTTTGAAAACATTATTAATAATTGTTTAAAGAGAGTATTAAAGATATTTGCTCATATGGAATTGCTTTTATCGCAATCAGCAATCATTGTGTAACAATGATTACCAAGAATATTTTTTAATTTTTTTTCAAATTGTGGTAACAGTGTCAAACATCATTGTTGTTTGCAACTTTCTGCATGACTGAAAACTTGCACAACATACGTTTAACGTTTATGTCAAAAGATGGACAAAAATAGTCTTTTAAATTTGTTTATAATATCTTACAACAACGCTCATCCGACTCAAGTTCAAGCTGCAGTGACAATTAGGAAAAAGTTGACTTGTTGCTTTTCTCCTTGTAAGATCAGCAGTCTTACGTGAAAGCATTTTGCCAATATACAAACATGTCGTGTTAAGTAATTTTACTCAATGCAGAAAGTGAGAGTGGATGGTGATGGAAAACAACCTTCTTTGAAAAAATATCTGAAAATATGGCGCGTAAAATAGAAGATTTGTGAAGAAAAGCATCGTATCCTATTTTGTTTTATAAATGCTCACTTAAAATGTTTCTTGATAACAATTACAAGTACAAAAAATTTATGAAGTCAGTTAATTAAACAAATGAGAATACCACTACTAACTTTATCATAAACCTGCGATAGTGTAATTATTTTTTGCAAAGGTTCTGCATTTATAGCATGTGCAGTGCTTGAAGATGTGAACCACTGGTTAAACCTCTAGATGAGGTTTAACCAGTTATATGAATAACTATTTTTAAGTAAAATTGTTTTGAAAACAGTTTTAGAGGCGCATTAGTTAGAGTTGTAGCACAGAACTAAAGTGTTCGAGGTTCCATCCCAGGTCTATTACTAGTCAAAACTGTTGAGAGGAAAAAGACTTAAAAGAGCAACTTGAAATGTAGTAGATGAAAAAACAAACTAAATATAAACTAAATTAAAAGTAGCTGAATGACCGCATAGATACATACATACATACATACATACATACATACATACATACATACATACATACATACATACATACATACATACATACATACATACATACATACATACATACATACATACATACATACATACATACATACATACATACATACATACATACATACCATCAAATAAAATTAAAATATTGGATCAAAAACATTTGTAAAGTTTTTAATAGTGTAAAAATGCTTACTTTGAAAAAACGATGTTATTAAAGTTAGTGATAAGTCCAAAAAATATTTTTTGATCAACATTATCTTTAAACAAATTTAAGAGTGTTTTTAATTTTTCCTCTCTGATTTTTATGCTTTTAAACTTGCTTTTGACTGCATATAAAACCTGCTATTGACTGCATATAAAACCTGCTATTGGCTACATATAAAAATACTTTATTTTTTAATTTTATAAATTTTGAATAAAGGTTTATAATTAGTTAATTATTTTGAACTCAAATATATCATATCCATAATATATGCATGGTAACACCCTGCGTGAGTAGCATAACCAGCATGTCTGATATTAATTTTTAATGTTAAAACTATGTTGTTTTCCGATGTCAGATTGACATCGGCAAAATTATTTTTTTCCAAAGAGAAGAACCATGATAAGAAATACAAAACTGGTCATTTTTAGTTTGGCGAAATGGCTCTTCAATATTTTTATTGGCAAGAAGGTCATATTTGTTTTTAGGTTTCAAATTATTAAGAATTATAAATGAACTAGGTGGTATATTTTCTTTAAATTTAAACATAAAATATTCAAAACATTTAGTTCGTAAGTATTGAAAACATTCATTTCTTTTAGAAGTCGTGTTGAGCTTGAAAAACGACTCTAAAATTGATTTTGCGAGCTGCTTGTTTTTACTGTTGATAGCAAGATTTAAGTTTGGTTTTGTGAACGCTTTCCTTTATTATATTTGCATAATTTAAATGACGATGAATAAATGAATAATATACACTACTGCTCAAAAGTTTGGAAGCAGTTAATTTTTTTTTTTTTAATTGAATATAATGTCAATATATATTAATGAAATCGACTTTTTAAATATAATTACTTTATTTCTAACAAGTCAATATACTTTTGTATGTTTTTAATCGAATCTGATTTATATAACTACTTTTATTTATGTTTAAAGATAATAGACGCTTTGAAGTCATTTTATCTAATAAACAAAACAATTAAGTCTGAACCTGTCTGAACATGAAATTGGTAAAATTATGTTACCAAAGTTATTAGTAAACATCTTTCAGTCAGTTATTTACTAGCAGACCGATAAGTTATCTTTTTAATAACAGTGCGCTAAACCAATTATAGTCGAGTGGTGTTTTTAGACAAATTTTTATTTTTTATTTTTATAATGGCAAAACGATCACAGTTAACAATTGATAAACGAAGTGCAATTTGTAATCAAGACAGGAAACGTAGTGGGAGACCCAAAATTACAACATTAAATGAAAATCAATTTATAAAATTAACTTCAAAGCGAAACCGTCGTTTAACAGCCCCCCAAACTGCAGCGAGATTAAATGAAATTCGTCCAAGTACAGTGTCAGTTTCAACAGTTAAAGAACGATTGAACTCTGCCGGTCTCCGAGGATGTGTAGCAGCTAAAATACCAAAATTAACAAAACAACATAAGAAAAACAGATTGGCTTGGGCTAAAAGTCATGAAGATTGGACACTTAAAAAATGGAAAAATGTACTTTGGACAGACGAATCGAAAATTCAAATTTTCGGTTCAAACAGAAGAGTTTTTGTCCGACGATCTATGAATGAAAGGGCTTTGCCAGAGTGTACAGTGCCATCAATTAAACATGGTGGAGGTAATGTTATGGTTTGCGGATGTTTCAGAAATAATAAACCTGGAAAATTAGTAAAAATAGATGGCAAACTTAACAAAGAAGGATATTTACAAATTTTGCAGGACCACGCTCTGCCTTCTGGGAATGAAATTACTGGATCAAATTTCATATTTCAACAGGATAATGATCCGAAACATGCTTCAAAATTGTGTATGTCCTATTTAAATGAAAAAAAAAAACAAGAAAAACTTATAGAAATTATGATATGGCCATCCAAATTACCTGATTTATCACCAATCGAGCTAGTTTGGGACGAGTTGGATAGAAGGGTTAAAAATAGATCTCCAAGTAGTGCTAGGCACATGTGGGAATACCTACAAACAGAATGGTACTCATTAGATTGTGAATATTTTACTAAATTAATAAATAGAATGCCCAAAATTTGCGCAGCTGTGATTAAAAATAAAGGTGGACATTTTGATGAATCAAAAATGTAAATAATATTGACAGATAGTTGGTTATATATATAAGATATTGACAGACAGATGTTGATTATAGTTGGTAAAAGTTTAATTTAAAGTGTAGTTGTTAATTACATTGTGAATAAAGGTATGAAGTTATTTTTTATCTATGTTTTTGTAAAAAAAACCAACTGCTTCCAAACTTTTGAGCGGTAGTGTAGCTGTATTAATACACCTATCCAATCGGAAAAAACGCGTAGAAATATTAATGTCTGGATCCAAATTGTGTGGTTAAAATATAAAAATAAACTTTTACGTACAAAGGATTTTTAAGCAAGCATTGAGCTTTCCTTTTGTTTAGATTATTTATTATTTAGATAAACTCATAATGGATTTAGTTAATTAATAGAATGAGAGTTTATGAGTTGAAACAATATTTAAGACTTCGAAATTTGCGTGTTTCTGGAACAAAAAGGGAATTGGTTGCTCGTGTATTTTCTGCATTGGAAAACTTTATTGAGCCTGTACTAACTGCTACCGAGGCAGTCGAAGAACTTAAAAATGAATATCAAAAAAAACTTTTAATTGACAATGTTAAATGCAGTGATCCGTTTATCTTATTAGATGGTTGATTATCTGAAGAGGACAGTATTAAACAAAGGCTAATGGTTTTGTATCCAGATATTTTTAACTATTTGATGTTTAACCCATTTGAATTAGGCGGCAATGACTTAAATTATTATAAAAAGCTTTTAGTTTTTATAAAACAGGCTGGCTTCAAAAACCTGCATATCACTGTATAAGTGAGGAAAGTCGATTTTGTGCAATAAAAAGTGAATGCAGACAACCACAACGTATTAATGACACTGTGGTTGATTATAGAAAAAGAAAATGCAAAAATCCGATCTTGTCACTGTACATGTATGGCAGGAATGAGCCAAACATGTAACCATTTTGCTGCAGCAATATTTAGAATTCAAGCTGCTGTAAGAATAGGCTTAACAAATCTGGCTTGCACAATGGTTTCAAATCAATGGCTTCCAAATCAAAAAGATGTTTTACCTGTTAAAATTGAAGATTTAGATTTTAGCAGAGAAAATTTTTCTCAACATTGTAAAAAAAAAAGACCATTTATAGACAGTTTGTATAAAAAATTTAATCCAATTTCTAATTATTCTAGTAAATTTAATCTTCAGGATGTTGTAAAAGCGTTAAAGAAATAACCCCTAATTCCATAATTTTTAATGCTACCCCTAAACCAGATATTGACTTTGGTTTGGAAGTAGTAAACGGCATTAGTACTTCCCAATCAAACCTAATGAGTGTTAATGATATACTGGTAATGTCAAAAGATATATTATCATTTGAAAAAAATATAACGCTTCACTTAAAAATATTGAAGAAATTAAGAAGTTGAACAAAGGACAAAATAAAAACAAATACTGGTATGAATATAGAAAAGGTGTTTTAACGGCTTCAAAAAGTTATGATGTTTGAACAAAAGTGAACAAATTAAATAAAATTGATGCCGATATGTTGGAATTAAATCAACATATATCTGGCATGTCATTTATTAATTCAAACATACCTACAATTAAGTATGGCAGGGAAATGGAACAGAATACTGTTAACTGTTTATATGAAATTTTTAAAATCAATCATAAAGGTGTAGCAATGCATAATTGTGGGATATTTTTAGATATTCCCTTCATTGGCGGTAGTCCTAATCGTATTGTTACTTGTTTGTGTTGTCCACCTGCATGTCTTGTAGTTAAATGCCCATTTTCTATAAATTACTTGTCCCCATTTGATCCGAGCGTAAAACTTCCGTATTTGATTAAAAATGTTGGTATTTCTTTAAACAAAAATCATGCCTATTATATGTCTTGTGCAAATGGCTGTTACAAAGCACCATCATTTATATTTTATGGTGTGGATACCTCATGGAAATTTTATTAAACATGTAAAATTTATAGACTATTACTATAAATACTATTTGAGCACAATTTTTATTCAACACTAAGCTTTAGAAATTGGATTAAACTTGTTATGTAAACTGCCTACAAGTGATTATTCAACTTATAATCAACTACAGTTTGTGGCTTGTGTCATCTATACATTGTGAATGTCTGAAAGCGAGAATGGTTGGTAAAACCATTGGCCATTGTTTAAAACGGTCTTCTTCAGATAACCAACTATCTAATAAGATAACTGATTTTTTTTTTTTTTCAAGAAGAGCAGACGCGTTTTTTTATCTGTTTTAAAAGAAAAAAAAATTATTTTACTTAAAAAATTATTTTACTTCAAAAAATTTTAAAAAAATGGCAGTTACACTTGTTGAAATTAAAAAAATGCTACAGGAAATTTTAATGGAATACAAAAAAGAAACAGAGGCGATGCTGAAGCAACAAGAAAAAATATTTGTTAAGCGCAAACACGAAAATCATTAATGAGCGGCTTGATAAAGTTGAACAAAATTTTAAAGAAAATGCTAACCAAAACAAAATCTTGGTAAAAGATATTGTAGACATTAAATTATCTTTAAATTTTCAAGAAGAACTCTTCGATAAAAAAATTAAAAAAGTCCACGAACAAAACAACGAACGCTTTGAAAAGGAAAACATTCTAGCGGAAAATAGAAACGAAAAATACAGAAAAATCGAAAATAGATCTTGAAAAAAAAATTTGCGAATTGATGGAATACCAGAAAGTCTAAAAGAAACTTTGATTGAAACTGAAGAGAAAGTTCAATCACTCTTATCAAATAAATTAGGACTGAATGGCGTTGAAATCGAGCAAGCTCATAGGACCGGATTAAGAAAGGATGGACGTCCAAGAATAGTTTTAATTAATTTACTTAGACACAAAGATAAAGCCAAAATCCTTCAAGAGTCGCACAAATTAAAAGGAGCGAACATGTATATAAACGAAGATTTTTCCTTTCGATACCGTAATAATTAGAAAGAGATTGCTGACTGAAGTCAAAAAAAGGCGTCAAAACGGTGAGAATGTTGCCGTCAGGTATGACAAAATTGTTAATCTAAATTACGCATTCATTAAAAATAACGATAAACCTATTATTAAATTAAATAAAAAATAAAAATATGAT